TATTTATAAATGTTGTCGACTTTGCAGATCTGGCAAACCACCCAAGCTTTAGTTTGTGGGCTTCAGGAAATCGTCCTTCCTGATAAATGGTAAGTTCATTTCATTCTTTGTGCAATGACCCCGCGTCCGGCGACTAGTATTTGCTAGTTGTGTGGATGTCAGAAGTTTGGAGTATCCGTCTATCACAGCTTGTAGCTCCAATTGCTAATTCTTGGAGATCCAAAATACTATGACTATTATATATGTTTTGAGAAGAATTAAGCTATTCTAATGAGTGCCGTTTGCAGCCTTATGCTCCACTCACACTAGCAAAGAGGATGATGACTAAGTGAGCGCCGTTTATTTGAGCCCAATTATAAATTTCCTCAGTCTCTGCAGATCTCTGCATAAATAACTGGTAATACACGGACGACTAATCTGACGGCATTTAAAATATTCACGCAAATGCCACACAGCCTCACGGATTGACCAATACGAAACTAAAACTGAGTTGCAAAGTTGCGAGAAGAATTTCTTCTAATCTATAAACAAGATGGAATACATTGACTTGGCTCCAATCAGTCAGAGACTGGAAATTCTATCAYCCTTGGCAGGAATTCTGTGCTCTTGAGTCCGTGCGAATTATTCGCATATTTGCTATTCATGCAGAAATTATTCCTCATTCCACTAGTCACGACCATCACGAATAGTGTGCCCCTTTCAATTCATTTGTCCCAAAATATCGCCTCTTTTCAAGAGAAGTGGTGTTCATCATATATTTTCATACGTACGTCGGTGTGATTCTCCTATACAGCCTCTCGCATTTTGGCCTGTTTCGATGTGAGCTCCGAGAGAACCCGAGTGACTTAGCTCTCTAACTGTATGTAAGTATTTTCTCCCGCTGAGATTTTTGTTTTGCGGGGCAAGCGTTATAACATGGCCGGTCGAGGTTGATCTTGCATTGTCTCATGAATTTAAGAGCCCTTGAAGTGTTGCAACTACTTCTGTATTCGTTCCGCGACATCTATGGCTCTTGTTTATTTTGTTGCATGATATGCTAATCATAGAAGGTCATAGAACATAGCGTATGACATTTCCGTCATTGACGTATTGATGGCCTTGAAGTAATTCTTGAAGCTAGACTAGCTGCTGGCAATAAAGCCTGATATGGGACACAAAATCTTTAGAAGAGAAGGTCATTAGCATCGAACATACTGCTAGTGCTGTTATTGTTTGGCTGTCTTACAATAATTATCAGAATGCTTCGCTGGCAATGTTTCGTGACGTTTGAGGCAAAAGCAAATACTGACACAAAAATTCGACCTTTAGAACTGAAAGGATTTCACCCGCTCGTAAACAGTCAATAAGAAACATGGCGGAAACAGTCAAGTTTACATACAGTGATTTATTCAAGCAATCTTCTTAGAGCTTACGAAACAAAAGTTATCAAACGAAATAGAAATCATCGAGGAAAACAATCCCTTCTAATTTTAATGGGGGGTTTCCCATGACCCAGGGGTCAGTCGTTTGAATTCTTTTCATGCTAGTGTTTTCAAATTTCTTTGTTTTATCACGTGACTTCAATAAGGTCTAAAATCAGAAATGTTAGGGACCTTCTGAGCTTTTATATTTATCAGCTATAAAACCTCTAAGTACATTTTTTTTTTTTT